AAAAAAGAACATCGTCAGGGCCCCAACGACGGCAGGCAGCTGATGCTGCGGTCGCTCTAGAGGATCCCACTGGACAGTCTGGAAGATCTTTGGTGGCTCAGGACTGCCGTGCACTAGGGTACATTGGCTGCAGAGATCGTGTAAAGCTATTACAGTTGAGGTTGCTGAAGCAGCGTCGCCTCTTCCAACTGCTGCTGGTCCTGGCATCGAAGCCGGGCTCCCTTCCCCAAACCACCCTCATTCAGATTCTACATAGCAGTTTATCTTGGAGATCAACGTCCTCTAGGTACGAGACTTCGGAGTTCACAATCGCAGTCCTCGCTCCCTGGTGCACATTGTGTCAATTGTAACTTGGATCCTGCTGATTGTGTTCGTACGCATGAATGAAGAATACCAATGTGAACGTTGCAGGTACAGTCTTGTATAAAGTTTCACATGAGATACCAGACTGCTACTGGTGTGGGCAAGTATCTTTACAGCCTTGTTTATGCTGAATGCGCGTATATGTTTGTGATGTATTCTCAGTGTCAACGCATGGGGTGCTGTCTAGTGTCGTCATAAAGATATCGAGTTGAGCCAATCGAGAATTTATTGACTAGATTTGTACTGATTACGGGCATTCTATTCGCACGCACGTGGCTTTATAAGATCCAAGCTCCATATTTTTGAGAGCACATAGCTGCAAATTTGCTTGGATTGCAGTGAGCACGATGCAAAGTGACTTGGGTTTATACTGATCTCACATAGATGGCTTTTGCAGCTAGCGGTGCTCGTTGCGCCCTTGAACTTCTTTGGGATTCGGAGCATCAACATTGTTACACATGTCATGCACCCAGAGAACCTCGCCTCTTTCATTTTGGGTCAGTCTATTAGCATGCACGTTTAAGATGAGATATGATTGCAGTGTTAACCCCACTTTCTTCATAAGCTATTGATGCAGATGTTCATTTATAGTGAGTCGCAGCCGGTTAGCACCGGAGGGAAGAAAGCTGGCACCTATGCGTAGTAGTTGCTAGTTCCTGCATTGCTCTTGTGGGTGCATGGCCACTGAGTAGCTAGTGAAATCTCATAACAGCAATAAATCTAGAAGTGGATTTGATTCCACACCACCTCGAAATAGCAGTGTTTGGCATTTGCAGCCGAGCAAAATAGCACACCAAAAATACTGCTAGTGTGCCTTATCAACATGTTTTTATCAATTGTGATTGTGCTGTAATTTCAAATATTTGTCAATATTTCATAGTTTTACTTTGTGTTATAGAGTTTAGATTTGGTTTCATAGATAAGATGTTGATAAGAAAATTGCAAGTAGAAAGAACATTGTATTAAAGTATATAAGTAAATAATAAAGTAGAATAAGTAACATTGTAGAGGATACTACTTTAGGTAAGTTACTATTGATTTAAGGATTGGTTCTTGGTATGTAAGAAGGCCAAGATATAAAATAGATGAACACACCAAGGATCTTAAGAATATAAAGAATATGTTAAAAAAATATTTTCATAGTAGATAAGATAACAATAAATAGTCTTAGTAAAATGTTGAATGGATGTATTCATCAAAAGATAGAAGTTGTCCATTGGGGCAAGAGCCACCACCTATAAGTAACAAGTATTGGAAGTGAGAAACATCTTATTCCATACTCTCTTTGTGTACAACCTTGCTGATGTTAAGTGTTGTTACTTCATAGTGTTTGTTCTTCAATAGGTTACGGATCCACTGACAATTAGTTGTAAGTTTTGAAGTTCTTTGAAGTCTTACTTATTCTGAGGAGTAGATCTTTTGATTGTTATTGATATTAGGATTTGGTATCATCTAATTCCATTATTGCATCTCATTGTTGATGTAGTTTTGCTCTTATTTATTGTTAAGTGCATTGATAATCTTCGAGGTTGTTAGATACTTTAGAATGATGTTTTAAAATACTAGTGTTGTATTTTTTTGTTGATTTACATCACTTGTGATCTAACATTGTGGTTTTATGTGATAAACTTCTCTTGAGATCTTCTTGTAGTGATGAGAAGTATTTTATGAGATTAGAAGTATTTTATGAAAGAAAAAGGGTGATTGAGGAGTGACAAAGCTTATATCAGAGGTTAAGATAGAATATAAGACTTGCGAGAAGTCCTATAAGTGAAGTTGAGAGTGATTTAAGATTAATATTACTAATTCACTTACAAAGGAGGCATTCTAGGTTTCAAATGCACCAACATATTTTTGTTGATTTTGAAAGCTTTTTTTTTTCTCTTTTTTTGATTTTCTTTGATATACCCTTTTCTTAGACATGGCTTCAAATGAGAGTGAAGGTTTGAAAGTGATTAAGAAGTTTAAGGGTGACAATTTCTACCATTAGAAGAAAAAATGAAACTTTTATTGATTTTATTAGACCTTTGGAACATTATGGATGAAAGTAAAGATCCTCCAAGTAATGATGTTGATGTTAAGGTGAAGAAGGAGTATATACATCATGAAAAGAAGGCTTTTGACATGATTGCATCAAATTTGGATGATGCCAATTTTTTACATATAATTGCTTGTAATGGACCAAAAGAAGCATGAAAGATTCTTTGCAATATCTATGAGAGTAGAAACCTTGCCAACATTCTATGGACAAAGAAGAAGTTCTTAATAGTAAAGATTTAAGAATGAGATGACCTCATGGCCCATGTCAACAAGGTAAAAGCACTTGCAAACCAACTAACAATTGTTGACAAGTCAATTGATGATAAGATCATTATATTGATATTACTCCTGAGCCTTCTCAAGTCCTACAACCACCTCATTGTTACATTGGAGTCTATCAACATAAAAGAGCTTACCATGAACTATATCACATCAAGGCTTGCTCATGAAATGTCCAAGAAGAAATAAAAAGAAATTCAAAGTAATGATTCTATTCTATTTTTAAAACAAGGCAAAGATAGTTATTCTCATCAATGTGATAATTCAAAAAGCAACATGTAAAATTGCTATGTTTATAAAAAATTATGTTACTTTATTAGAAATTGCTACAAAGTCAAGAAAAGAGATAGGAAGAATACAATCAATGCTCGTGATAACTTCGATGGAGATAACTATGCTTTCATGGCAAGTGAAGGAGCCTCTATGGTTGCTATGTCCAAGTAGATTATAAATTTGGATGTTACTATGTACATGATATCATATAAGTATTTCTTTGACATTTATAAAGAAATTCTAGCAACCAAAGTTTGGTTAGGAGACAATGGCATGGTATAAGCCATTGGAATTAGATCCCTTGTTGTAGAAATTGTTGTGAAGAACCAAATCAAGATGATTAGGTTGAAAGAAACCTTATATATGCTAAAGATAAAAAAAAAAAAAAAAAAAAAAAAAAAAAAAAAAAAAAAAAACTTCTTTTGGTGAGCAAACTTATATCACATGGTTATAAGGTTCAATTTTATAAAAATAGATGTTTTGTGAAGACATTGGATCGATAACATGTTATTAAAGGCTTTAGAGATGGCAATCTCTACTTCATGGATTGTAAGAAGGTAAATGAGATAGAAGTGGCAGCATTTGCTGATTTTCCACAAAATCAAGACAAGTTTGGAATTTGACATGAACGACTTGGACATTTGAATGCCAAAACCATGAAGAAGTTCTAATCCATGGTAAGTGGCTTAGATCTTAGTCAATTCAGCCACAATGCCTTCACACTTACTTGTGAAGATTATATACAAGGCAAATAATAAAAAACTTCATTTTCAAGAGGAGTTACAATATATACAAGAAAATTGTTAGAGATTGTATATTTTGATGTTTTTAAACCAATGAAGATACCATCAATTGAAGGAGCAAGGTACTTTGTCCCATTTATTAATGGTTTTTCAAGAAAAGTGTGGATTTATATTATTAAAGCCTAGAGTGAATGTTTTCCAAGGTTTAAGGAGCTTAAGGCTCTTGTAGAAAAACAATATGAATGTAAGCTCAAAGTATTGTGCATGAATAATGGAGGTGAGTACATATCAAAATATTTTGATGAATTCTTTAAGATTCAAGGTATTACAAGACAATCCTCTACTCCCTATTCTCTACAACAAAATAGAGTTGTTGAAAGAGAAAATTGCACCATTGTAGAGATGACAAGGAGTATGCTTCATGCACAAAATCTTAGGCATGAATATTAGGCGAAAACATTGGTAAATGTGGTGTATATAAGAAATAAGTACCCAACAAATACACTCACATCAATGACTCCACAAGAAGCTTGGAATGGCAAGTTAATTTATTTTTCATATATGAAGATTTTTAAATACATTGCTTATATAAAAATATCAGATTGTATGAGGTTCAAACTTGGTGCAAAAGATACAAAATGTGTGTTTGTTGGATATTGTGAAGGTACCAAGGCATATAGGCTAATGTGTTTAGAAACCAAGAAAATCATTAAGAATTGTGATGTAGAATTTTTTGAGCATAAAAATGCTTACAAGTACTTAGAGATGTATTCAAATAGGAATAATGGTATGTTTGTGGATACATCTTTAATTTCAACAAAGGAAGAAGAAAAAGATGATGACATTCATGATAGTCGAAATTCAAATCAAGATGAAGAGCCAAAGAAGATAGACCATAGTGTGCCTACAATTGCTGAAACCAGCAATAAAAACTATGAAGATGTTGAAAATAATGATGACGATGGAGAGCACCAACTTTTGAATATAAAGAAGCAAGGTTTAAGAGAGAAGAAGCTTACAAGAAACCTAGGAATAAAAGAAGGTGAAGCTTCATCAAGTGAAAGGTGATATCCTTTAAAAGATAAAAAAATATCTTAGTGCATGATAGAAGAATTATATTTTTTGTCAAATAAATAAAGAACATATTAATATTGCACTCATTGCTGATCTATTGAGTTTGTATGATGCAATGAAATCCACGAATGCTATGAAGTAGAAGAATGCCATAAAAAAGAATACAAATTATTCATGGACAACAAAACATAGAAATTGACTCAACTTCCACCAAATCAATCTTTAATTAATTGTAAGTAGGTGTTTAGAATCAAAAAGGATACAATGGATAATGTTGTGAGATACAAATCTATATTGATTACTAAACGCTACTCACAAATTGATGATATTGATTTCAATGAAACATTTGCTTCCATGGCCAAATTCACTACCATTAGAACCATTGTTGCAATTGGGGCAGCAATATACTTTGAGATGCATCAAATGGATGTGAAGATGGCTTTCTTAAATAGAAATCTAGAAGAAGACATCTACATAGAGTAACTTCAAGGATTTTAAGAAGAAAAGAAACAACATCTTATTTGTAAGTTAAAAAGAACTTTGTATAGGCTCAAGCAATCTCTAAGGATATGGTACCAACATATTGATACATTTTTTGTGAATAAAATTTTTTTAAGGAATGAATCCGATCATTCCTTGTATGTGATGCAATCAAATAAGTTCATATTGATTGTCGTTCTGTATATTCATAATTTAATCATCTTAATTGATACTATGAAGATGATGGATTGATTGAAGGTAAAGTTAAAAAAAAGATATAAAATGAGTGATTTAAGATAGCTTCACTATTGTTTAGGAGTGGAGTTTGTAAGAGGTTGTATTAAAAAGACTATTACAATAAACTAAAGCAAATACATTAAAGAAGTGTTGAAATGATTTAATATAAAAGAATGTAAGCCTATTAGAACACCTTTAGAGGCCAATTTGAAGTTGATGAAGCTTACGGATGAAGAATTTCTTGAAGTTGAAGGTCAAATACAAGGTGTTCCATACAAGGTAGCAATGGATTTATTTATATATGCAATGATTGGCACAAAAGTGGATCTTGCATTTGTAGTGAGTATTGTGAGCTAATACATGTCAAAGGCTTGACCAATCCATTGAGTAACCATCAGAAGAATCATGAGATACTTAAAAGATACTTTACATCTCAAATTATGCTTTAGAGGTGATAACATTAGTTTGTATGGTTATTGTGATGTGGATTGGATTTGAGATGCAAATGATAGAAGATCAATAACATAATATGTATTCTTTGTTGGAGTGAGAGCTCTCTCATGGAATTATAAGATAAAACTAATAATTTTAAGATCAACAATAGAGGCGGAGTACATAGCAGCAAGCCATGTTGCAATAGAGGCAATATAGTTAAGACAACTTCTAGATGACATTAGAGTATTACAAATGAAAGCAACTCCAATAGAATGTAACAATCAAGGATGTCTTGCATT